CATATTGCAAAACTGAAACTAGGCTAGGATAAACACAGAGGGAAAAAATTAAGGCTTAAACCAAGTTTAATATGTAACTCCAACGCACCATCACAAAGCCCAAGAGGCAGGATATGCAATCCTGCATTCCTTATGCACTCGTAATACCTCTTGGCTTCAGTGGACGTTTTGTTTAAGAAAGCATATAATCAAAACCTATAATTTTATTAATTGCATGCCACAGGCAGTCCATGTGAGGTAAGAATCATGAACCAAACTGGCTGGAAGGATGGAGGAACCCATTAGCCCCGCCTGCATCTTTGTGGACCACTGAGTCCATGCAGCAAAGCTATGAATCCTCGTTTTCCCCACTCACCCATACTTCCAGCCCYTCCTCATGACAGACTGTGTATGTCATGTAGACAGTAGTGCAGATGTTCCACTCAGGGCACAATACAGCTCTCAGGTCTCTGTTACTGTTCTCCTTYACCATCCTTCCCCAGACTCTTGGCAGTGCTGAGGATTTCACACAATGCAGATCSCTACTCTGTTGGGATTTTTATATTATTCATACTAGGCACTGACAAAATGAGTGTTACATAGCTATTAGTACAGGGTGCATTGACATATTACATATTTCATTAGATATCCTTTAGGCAATTTARGAAGTATCATCTAAAAACCATATGAATGGACTTGACTTTCACAGTATTACTGCACACATAACTTTTCCRTGCATACCATAAACATAAATGACTCTACAGGGTGTGTGCTACAGATAGTTTTATGGTATCTCTCAAGATTTATTTATATATCTAGAAAGAAATAAGAAAAAGAAAAAAGAACCTACCATATAAAGGCCTTTTATTTGCTAAAACATGAGCAAAGAAAAAACATGGACACTTGCAAGCTACTTCTTTTTTCTAATATAAAAACAACTAATCAGATTTCACAGGATGAAAAATGACAAGTGATGTTACAGTGCGGTGCRAATCTACAGACATCTCTCTGCTGCAAACTGACATTTAGAAGCACACAGCAGATCATTCTTCAGCTACAAAACACCCATCACCGCCCTGTGTAATAAACTAGTTAATTTCTACCTGTGTCACTGAACACAACTCCATTTTTACAATACCTGACTAACAACTAACTTATAGTTTCTTTTACAACAGCCTTAAAACATAAAGCAGGAACAGAATCTCCAGATTAAAAGTTAAAAATTCATTCATTCTTAACTATCTTAAATGCTCAAACTTTGTAAGGAAGCTTCCAATGTGTAATGGCACACAAAAGAACAAAATAAAAAACAAACAAATGGAAGGTATGAAAATGAGGGTGACTTAGGGATAAGGAGAAAGAAAACAAAGGAAAGGAAAAAAAAGGAAGATAGAAAACCATGACAATGAAAACAAATGAATCGTTGAAACTATGGTGGGAGGAACTGATGAATATTAACTTTTATTATTCCGATTACAAAATACATTTCAAAATTGGATGAAACACATTCTATGTATGTTTTGCCAAGGACATTCTTGGCAATTACAAAGTCAGGAAAATTATAATTCAATCAGTGAGGCATTACTTAAAACCACTTGAAAAAGCAGATCATTTGAACCAGCAAACAGACTGCATGGGTAAAATTTTAAAAACTCAATATTCTGGAGTAGTGCAGATTGCGCTCACATGTTGCAGAGTTCCAATAATGCGGCCATTAGAAAACCAGCAGTTTTTCTTCATGGATGCCTTTTACCAATCTTTCTTCTCATAAATGAGCAACAAAGCCTCATCACCGTTTTCTTTATAAAAGGAGAATAGTTCTAGGGGGGAAAAAAAATCGTGCATTTGCAGAGCAAAACTTTTATTTTGCTAAAAAATCTGGTTTAAAATTTTAAAAAAGCTGTACTGTCCACGACAACCAGATCACGTCTATAAAGATGGCTGTATGTGGGACACTTAACCATGCACCAAATCTGTTTGTTTGCCTTGAAATGGATGATACAATCCCAAAAACGTTAAGAATACGTCATCACGTCTGTTGCTATACTGGCAAAACCCACAACAAACAGGTCACCTTGACCCCTGTCATGTACATTGGAATTTCGCAGAACTGCTGACACCCGAAGAATAGGATCGACAGAGAAAGGAACCAGGCATTCACCATTCCCACTGGAAAATGCGTGTGCCGCGCCTTCCCCGCAGTAGCGCTTATTTACATATCGCTGTGATTGCTCTGCGAAGGGGAGCGGCGCAGCCTTTCGCCTTAACCCGTCAGGCTGCGAAAGCCTTTGCAAACTGCCCGATTTTGAGAGTGCCACGGACTGGCACTCCTGGGGCGACTTTAGCACTCCTCACGGTCACAGGCACCCCAAGTCGCGCTCCGCCGCGTCCGCARACGGGGTAAAGGCGGGCGCCGTGCGCCGGCGAGCGCGCAGGGCCGGAGCCAGCTCCAGCCCAGAACGGCCCGAGCCGAACGGCGGGGTCACTGCAAGGGGCGCTCCCGCGGAAGCAGGTGCGCCGCCACCGCCCCTCTGCGCCCCGGGGCTGCGCGGGGAAGGCGCCGCAGCGCATCCCGCCCGGTGCCGCCCCGCCTTGGCTGCGGGGGGCGCGTGACGTGCCCCGCCGAATGGGGGCGGGGGGACGATTGCAGAGATGGAAAATTTTCGGCTCCTGCATCTGCTGCGCGTGCCCTGGCCGGTCCCCGCCCCTTCCCAGCTTCCCCTCCCATCCCCCATCCCCCCGGTGGCGGGGGCGGTCCAGAACCTTCGGCGACGGTGGCGGTCGCCTGCCGCCGCCTCGCGCCGCCCGGAGGATTCCCGYTCGCTTGCTGCGGCGACAGTCGCGGTGTGGAGTCATCGTCCTCCCGCCTGTTTTAGCCCTGGGGAGCCTCGTTGTCCGCCTCGGAGCTGCGGGCGTTGCAGTGCGCCCAGGAGCGGGGACGGTGCTTAGGGAATCGCTGTCCCTCGACGGTGTGACCTGCTCCCGTGTCCCTGCGGCGGCCACGGCCCCGGGGCAGCAGACAGGCAGCCGCCCCTCGCACCCTTCACGGGCTTTCGATGCTTCGGAAGAAGGGAGAGGGAGGGCGATAATACAGAGGGGCCGAACGACTCGGTGGCAGGGCATCCGCCACACTCGAGGCGGGCAGCAGCAGGCCGACGTGGGAGTGCGCTGCTGCCACGAGGGCAGAAGTTCGGGGCGCTGCTTTGCAACYACCCTGTCCCTCTAGAGATAGCAAATGGGCCCCCGCTACCCCTGCCAAGCCTCCTCCGCAGCTGTGGCCTTGAACCGTGCGTGTATGACGCTGCGGAGGGCAACAAAGCCCCGCCACCCACTTCCACGGAGGACCGAGCAGCAAAGCCCTCGGTTACCTAAGCAAAAGGAAGCAAGAGGTTCTGTTTCCCCCCCTTCCCTACAGCGGGTTTTATAGTGAATCACATCACTAAGGGTAGTCCGTCATTCCGGTTCAGTTCCCGAAGGAAAGGTTAGGGGAGTCTGTCGGCTGCCCCCTGTGCCCGGGCTTGCACCTGCGCTGCTGCGGGTGTTAAAAATAGCGAGTGACTACAGCGAGGGGCTACTGTGGGGCGGCGGGCCCCCCGGTCCCCTGCCACACACCCAGCTACTGGGAGCCACTAGAGCCAGGCAAGCGCGAGGTGCAAAGATCCTGGGTGAAGCAGCAGCCTCCCGGTGCTGCAGTCACGCTGCGGATGCTGCACCGGGCCGGGAGAAGCACCTCTCAGAGCGCTCTTGACAAGCACCGCAGCGTCCTGTCCCCGCCGTGTAACCCAGTGCCCCAATGTAAACACCGGAGAGCTCGGCTCACGTGCTGGCGGCCCCGCTCCCGACCCCCGCCGGGGGCACGCCAGTGACCCGCTCCCACCCTCCAGTCGGGGACGCCCCCCTTCCCCGAATTCCCCCCCCYGCCCGGGCGACAGCAGGGGGTCACTCGGGCAGGAGGGGGGCGGCGCGGCAGGGGCGGGCGCCGCGCCCCTTGCGATGACGCGCCCACATTCCTGCCTGAAGAGCGGCGGTGCCCCGTGGGGGCCGCCAGACCGGGGAGCGACGCCGGAGAGACACAGACGCGTTATTTTCTTTCTTTTTGATACCGCTGGCTTTTTTTACGTGTATTTTTTTCTACCTTTATTTATCTAGGGGCTTGTTTTCCCTGACATTTTATAGTTAAGGGTTTTTTTTTTCCCTTGCAAGAAGTAGCAGAAGAGACAAGAGCATCTCTTTATTCCGAGGCTTCGGGAGAAACCCTCGCTTTCAAGTTTTTGCGCAGAAGGTACGGCAGGGGCTGGCTGTTACCGGGCCGCCAAGAGGAACGGGGCGACTTTTCGGACTGAGCGCGGCTCGTCCTTCGCGCCTTTGTCCGGCGGCAGCGCCCCGGCTTGTCGCCAAGACCCTGCCGGGCTCCGCCGAGACGCGCTTAGGGACGCGCCGCCGCTGCATCCCGGAAAGGCGGCAAGCCCGCAAAGCGACTGCGGCGCGAYGCAGTCCCGCGACCGTTTCGCGGTTTTCCCTTGTCGGTGTCGCCGGCGGTGAGGAGGGAGGCAAACGCGGGGAAGYACAGCCGCCGGCCGGGAGGCTCCGGCAGCTGATGTGACAATCGCCCATCGGTGTTGCATCAGTCTGCGCTCCGCTATCGGGGCGGGGAGGCGTGAGGGGGGAGGGGGGGGAGTGCGGCGTGGCGGTGCCGCTGTCTCGGTGCGGTGCCGCGTCTCGGTGCGGTGCCGGCCGGGCGGTGTTGGTGGCGGTGTTGGTGGCAGTGTTGGTGGCGGTGTTGGTGGCAGCCGCGCGCCCCCGCCCCGCGCGGTCTCACCTTTGTCCGCGCGCCCCCCGCCCCGCGTTCCTGGTACTTTTCCACTCGGCGGCGGCGGCGGGCGGGGGCCGCGGGGCCACGTGACGGCCGCGCGCCCGCTGCGGCACTGACGTCGCCTCCCGCCCCCTCCGCAGGCGCGGCGAGTCCCGCGGGCAAGGACAAAAGAGCGGCCGCCGACGAGCGCGACCCCGGCCCCGCCAGCATGAGCAGCGCCGAGATGGGCAAGTTCAACATCTCGCCCGACGAGGACAGCAGCAGCTACAGCTCCAACAGCAACGACTTCAGCTACCCCTACCCCACCAAGCCGGCCGCCATGAAGAGGTGAGGGGGCTCCGCCGCCCCGGAGTCGCGGGGTGCCACGGTGGGGTCGCCACGGTGCCGCGCGTCTGTCGGCAGTCCAGTCCGTACGGAAACGCGGCGATCGCTGCGGGCGGCGACGGGCGCAGGCACGGTGGCAGGTGGGGTGGTTCTTTCGGGGCTRTGCCAAGGGTTTTCTCTTTTCCCTTTGAAATGGATTGGAAATGCTGATCGGCAAGTTGCCCGTGAGAGTCACTAATGATGCAATGTTGTTTTGCAGCCACTATGCGGATATTGATCCAGAAAACCAAAATTTCTTGCTCGACTCCAATCTTGGAAAGAAGAAATACGAAACTCAGTATGTAAGTACCCAGCTTTCCAAATAAACAARGAAACAAACAAAAACGTGTTGCCAAATACATATTTGTTTTAATTCTGAGATGAGTAGTAACTTTCTATTAATTATTACCTATCTCCCTTTCCTCAGCATCCGGGTACTACTTCCTTTGGAATGTCAGTATTTAATCTGAGCAATGCTATTGTGGGTAGTGGCATCCTTGGTCTTTCTTTTGCCATGGCTAACACTGGAATTGCTCTTTTTGTGTAAGTATCTTTTGGTTCATTAAAAAAAAATCTTTCTATGTAATTAATAATGGAAAAATACTTGGTGTAAGAATGTGACCCCTAGAAAAAACCCACCCATTTCATGGTGATGCAGTTTTAGGATTTATGGCTCGCTTTAAAGATTGTGATAGATTCAGAAGGACTTGCAAAAATTAAACGGGTTCATTGCAAGTTCTGCGAACCTCAGAAACATTTTAGAGTGGATTTTACTTGACTTAGCTGTAGCTTCTCTATGAATAACTGATAGACTTCCCCTGAAAGTCCCATTATTGAAGTCCCGATCAGGGATGTGGTCTCTCTTTCCTCAGCTGGCGTCACTGTGCCTACAGGGTTATAATGAACTTAACCAATAAAGAAGTCCATTTTATTGCTGTGTTTTTACTCAATTCAGGGAATTTCTTTCAGTCACACCTATAAAAATTTCTGTCTGCCTGCAAGGGAGGGATRTAGAGTAACCCCTGTATTTTTATTGACATGTCTACATTGGCAAAAGCTTTGAGGTGTAAGACAGCACTACAATAATGTAATTGGAAATGACATATGGAAACAGTTATGTGCAGTGCTTTTAAATCCTGGGAAACTACATTTTTCATGTATTGGAGGCAGTTCAGGTCACACGACATGTAAGATCAGTGACTTGACTGCAAATGAGTATCCATGGATATGTTTAAAGGAACTTTGTGTTTTTATCCTGGAAACAGATGAATGTGCTGAATATTCAAGAACATGTGAAGAGTAATGTTTAGTTCAAAATTTCCCTGACTCTGCTGCCAGATTTCCAGAAAGTAGGTCAGATTTACTTGCAGATGTTTCACAGTGTATCATGGTGATGCTCAGGTTTCCTGAGGAAGCTAGCAAAGTATTAAGTTCTAATCTAAAYGATTTTTAGTATATGGTGATTGTTAATCTTTTACTAAGATTGTCACTGCTTAGGTGTTCCTAAACTGAATGAATRACTTAGCCTGAATCTAGAAGACATACTTCACCTATAAACGTCAGTTTCATACTCTAAAGGTGTTCTGCAGCACATGTGAGATAATCACTGTATTGCATATTAGAAAGTCTTTGAGGAGAGGAATAAAGAGAATTTAAGGTTAGCTATTTGAAAAGTCTTGGATGGTCCTTCTTTCAGAGGAAAAAATGTTCTAAACTGTCAATTTTAACAACCGGATGCTGTGGCAATTCAGTTGCCTTTTATTTCCASATACTGCATTGCAATTTATTTGTATTAGTGCTGTTTCAAAGACAAACTAGCTTGTTACCCTTCAAAACGTAGTGTAGATTGTATAGTTCTGAGGCAGGAAAGCAGTTCATCACAGATGATACTGAGGAATTTATGATGACACTGAGGGCATTACAGGCGTCCTTTAATAACTAGGTTACAGATTCAGATCCAGATGCAGTTGATTAAGGCAATAAGTTCTTCGAAGACTGTGGAGTCACATGTGTCAGTGCTGTGACTTGTCACTTGTGTCAGCAGCTAGAAACAGAGTGAGCTTGAAGATGAGTTTGCTGATTGWTATTGTCAATACTGTAGGCAGCCATTCCAGATTAGGACTGAGAGGTCCAAGGTGTGTGCTGTTTTAAAGTAGCGTAACCCTGGCACATCTCAGCTGCGCTGTTTCTAGTTGGTGGCTGAGCCAAATCCTGGTTAATCTCTACCTCTTAGAAATAGAAAGGTTCATTTGGTGTTAGTGTTGAATTGGCACAGTAACAGAAATTTCCTATACATATCTGTGAAGCTTCTCAGATCTTCTTGTTTTAGTTCTTTGTGCTGCATTTACTAACTTCACCARCGTTAAAAATGACACAAAAGGAAATGTGCTCTGAGAAATTAAGTTTGCCCTTTTTGAGCCGTTCTTTATATGCTGATTCTCAGGTTTCCTATAAAGCAAATTGCTTATATTGGTATAAGAAAGACCAGGGTTCTTTTTTAATGCATTGTAATTTTCCACTGTGTTCTCTAGCAGCCAAGAAGTCTCCCCTAGCGTGCCACTCCAGGAAGTGCATTTGTTGTGGGAGAGATTTGTTGTTGAGAGATCCGAATTTTAGGTGATGCAAATGTGCTTCTGGAAGTAATATGCATTGCCTGTAAAAGCTGTGGGGAAGATAAACAAGCCACTAGCGATTCCCATGTAAGCACACCTGAAGAGTTAATTTTTGAGGAAAGAATTTTTTTTTAAAATAACAATAGATGCCTACTTCCAGTTGAAAACACAGTCCTCAATGAGCCTGAATTTTCAGTCAGTTCTTTTAAGGCTTCAGCAGTTTCATCGTTACATTAAAAAAAAGAGATAATACAGGTTTAAACTGAAAAGCTGATTTCTTTTAAGACCAAGAGATAATCTTCACTTCAGCTGTAGTTAGCCTCAACTATGTGTTCAATAGGTGCATGACACACTGTTGAACAGGGATAAGGAGACCGGGGAARCACATRTTTTTACTAAGATAGCAAGCCCCCGACCATTAACSGGCTCACATTCCAATTGATACTTTGTTAAGTTATATCAAATGTAGCCAATTATAATAGCCTGACACTTGGAGATGCTTATGCCACTTTACACTGAATCGAATCATTGTTCAAGCCTACATTMGAATTTCTTTGTATGCCTTTGAAATGCAATTTAGTATAAAATCCTTTCTAAACACAACATTAATTGTGTTTTCAGAGTGCTTTTAATTGAGCTTAGCATCTACATTTTTTCCCATATAATATTTTTATATGGATAATGTTCATGTTTGATACATCTTTATTTAATAGGGTTACAATAAGGCATTTATGACTATTACAAATTGGCATGTTTTTCTCTCTCCAGGATACTTCTGCTCTTTGTCTCAATATTTTCTTTGTATTCAGTGCATCTTCTWTTGAAGACTGCCAATGAAGGAGGTAAGGCAAATTACACTTTTACAAAYATGTAATATTAGTTTTTATGGTATCTTTGTGAAACACACCCTTCCAATGGGATATTTATTCTGTTTTCTTGTAGGATCTTTGTTGTATGAACAGTTGGGAATGAAGGCTTTTGGTATGGCTGGAAAACTTGCTGCTTCTGGATCAATTACAATGCAGAACATTGGAGGTGAGGACAAGATCTTAAAATGTCTGTACTGTCAATAGTTATTGTTCCCTGCTTATTCTTGGAGACTTATTTGTCACACAACATGTGTTCATTAACTGCTTGTGTTCAAGTGAAGTTATGAAACATGTTATGTGATTCTTGCATCGTGTGGCATATTCTGTATTTGTAATGATCTATGATGTTATTCACCTACAGCTATGTCAAGCTACCTCTTCATAGTGAAATATGAGTTACCATTGGTCATCAAGACATTTATGAACATCGAAGAGACCACAGGGTAGGTGTTAGAACTCCTCATCAGAGAAACTATTAGGAGAAACAAATACGGAGACTGTATATATTTTTATATGAAGACCACGTTCGGTACACCGTAGGGTAGCTTCTTATTCAGACAGAGATACAGTAAGTTTTCCCTTCCCCTGAGTGCTTCACCTCATTTAGCTCCAGCCTGACCTGGGAAAAGGGTAGAAAAACACAGGTATTGCATCACATTGCAGAAAACTGTTCTGTAAAGAACATCAGGTAAGTGTTAATGTATGTACTAGTAAGTACATACACTTGATAAGGAAAGATAAATGTGATCGTGGTTGGTTTTTTTGTTTTGTTTTGGTTTTTTGTTTATTTTCTTACTGCATACAAACTGGTCTGGTCTGAATAATTTGGTTTTCTAGCATTAATTTTATGGGAGGTGATTAAATATAAGACTATGGTGCAGTTACGCAATGAATGTTTTAAGGAACAACTCTCAAAAAAAATGCAGAGACTGAACACTGACCTAAACCACAGTTAATACGCCCAAGACCAAGAGTGGTACGTGCCTTGCCATCTTGTCCTGGAGTGGTTTTCTTGCTTGGCTTTAAAAAGTGGTGCCTTGAATAGGATTCTTTTTATCTAACCATACCCTCTGAAAGTTATGATGATTTTTAATTCATTACTCTGGTCATTGTATAATMTGTGAGGAAGGTTGATCTGTAGTAATCAGTTCAGTGCAGCCGCCTTAGACACATTTTGCACATCTCCAAAGAACAGTTGATCATATCACGCTGTATTGAGAGGGTGTGTAAAAACAAGATGCCTGAGTTCAGATGGATAGAGTTAAGTGCTATAAATCTCACTCTTCAGAGTTGTACTTCTGTGCCTTGTCCTGAAGTGTCCCAGTCTTGAGAGGGCTGAGCAGCTCAAGACTCCAACTTACACCTAAGCCTGAGTTCAGAAGGTAGGCATTTTTCTGCCTATGTTCCCCAAGGGGTTCAAGCCATTTGGTGATGTTCATACAGCTTGCTGATAGATATTGTTATATCTACACTGGTAGCCATCTG